AAAAATATACATATATATATATATATATATATAAGTCTTTTTGATTAAAGGATTTCAGGTTTTGGCTCATCATGGCATCATAAAACTTTCTATGTCTTTATGTGGATGTTTTACAGGTCAGTGAGAAGAGCCGTAGCTGCGAAGCAAAAAAGAATCCTTTTGTGAACCCACTGTTGCTCCTCTGCTACACAAACATCAGTGACGCTTCAGATTTTCCACAGTTAGTTTGTTTGAAGATAGCACATTAAATACAGACCTCATACTCTATACACTATTATCTACAAATATGGCACAAAAAAGGAATTCCAGCTCTAGACTTGCAGATCATATCTTTATTGGGTCTGTCGGTCGAAGACTAATTCTGTACATCTATACACAACCAAGCCCAACCGTGACCCAACTTGAAGGTCAATATGATGTTCAACATTTGGATTTTAACTGAGTAATCTTTTGGATGTTATGGATGTCTATTACAGGTGCAGGGAATTTACATGATTAATAAATGTATTTTTATTAATTTACAAATATAAACATTAATGTGGTGTTATCAATATGATGCATATGAATGTGGGTTCTGTATAAACAAACATGATTAATTACGTGTTAGCCTATATATTTAATAAGTACACGTGGGTAATTGTTTTGGTTATTTAACATTTTCTTGTTTTTCTTTGACTGGTTTGTTTATGTTAGTTAATCAAGTTATTTGTTTGTAACCAGGTTGAAATTGTCATTTATTAAAATGTGTTGAAAAGACGTCCACAGCCACTACATTTGAACAATAATAGCTCATAAACGTAAAGATCCTAGCAATAACAACACTAGATGTTCAGCAGATGTCGAAAAAAAGACATTGCCTGGTGTTACAAAACAACCCTTCCAATGGACCAAAATTGGACGTCCAAAAATGACTTATAAAAGATGTCATTCAGACATCACTCAGTGTGATGTCCCATGAAGTAAGAAAAAACTGAAATAGATGATCTTAAGTGACTTCAGCTTTTTAACTCCAAATAATCTCTGAATAGATTATGAAAAATTATATTACACAATCTGAATGAAAAATCACCTGTAGATGTTATAACAATCTTGGGAACTATAGGCCGATCTCTAAGCTTCCATTCGTGTGCAAAATACTGGAGAGGATCGTTCTTTCACAGCTCCGGCCGTATTTGGATGTGAATGCCATTTATGATAAATTTCAGTCTGCTTACAAACCCTGTTATAGTACTAAAACGGCCTTGCTCAGAGTCCTCAATGATCTCCTTCTGAATACTGACTCTGGACACTCTTCATTCTTGGTCCTACTAGATCTATCCTCGGCCTTTGATATGGTAGATCATAACATCCTATTAGTGAGGCTTGAACACACAGTTGGCATTGGAGGTGCCGCCCTGGATTAGTTTAAGTCATACCTTTCTAATAGGTCCTTCACGATCAATTTTGGCCCTTATTTCTCCTCTGCTGCACCTAACCCTAACCCTGCAGCGTGCCTCAAGGATCTGTCCTTGGCCCCCTGCTCTTCTCACTGTATATGCTCCCCTTAGGCGCAATCTTTGAGAAGTATAACATTGCACATCATTGTTATGCCGACGACACACAGATGTATTTCAAATTAAGTGATTAAGGTTTGAGAAAAGGGCAAAGCATACAACCCATACCAGTGTGTGTGTGTGTGTGTGTGTGTGTGTGTGTGTGTGTGTGTGTGTGTGTGTGTGTGTGTGTGTGTGTGTGTGTGTGTGTGTGTGTGTGTG